AGAGAAGATAAGTGAAATGTTTATTGTCGCCAAAGAAGTATGATGGCAATCTGCGGAAATCTCACGCGCAGAAAAACTTGTTGCAAAATTTCCTTCGATTTTGTAAATAGCACGTAGCCCCATCGGTGTCCTTCACTTGTCATTTCGACAAAATACCAACCTTGAGCCACGAACGCTTACCCTCGCTCGTAGCTGGCTGCTCAGCATTTACACCCTGAAGAGTTACGACTCCTTATCAAGAAGAAATCATTGTGCGCTTCACTAACACATTGCCGACACCCATCGCGTGTGTACCTCTATCTTGTATTTTTTTATAAAATTTACCATGAAGGGCGGTGTTTACAATTAGGAGGGAGCCCATTAGTTAATCTAAAAGTGGTCAGTGGTGCCGGGATGAAGAAGAACCATGAGAAACGGCCCAGAACCCGAGAAATGGGACCCCTTCCTTGCCCGTTGATTTCCGCATTGATGCGACTCTCATCGGTGCTGCCCTCTTCAACGCTAACGCTCTCTCTCTGCTAATGGCTCGAGAAATGCAGTGTGGGCATGCCGCGTCGATAGTGAGGCGGGAAGGCCACGCTAGATCCCCGGGGGCACATATTCCACTGCGAGTTGGGTCTCGGTCCGCATCCTTACAGGATTGCCTTTTTCCACTAGGTAAGTTGTAACCATACACATCAACTTCTATGCCAAGATTAAGAGAGTGTCGTTCTTGGCCTAAGTTGTATCCCCTTCTTGGACCTTCGACCCTATCGTGGGATCCTTCTTTAATAGTCACTACTCCATCAATAATTCCATGATTGGTAATTATATATTGTCTCCCGCATCTTTGTGGGCAGATGTGGAACTTGAACGCCGCTAGGAATCAAACAAAACCAGGTCTCCCCTCCATGCGTAAGTGCTGAGCTATGTGACCCGCGCTGTCAATGTGTTAGTGAGTTCTCCCGTAAAATTTTTACACCAGTTTGAAAGTTCTCTCAGCACACCGCAGTGGACTCATTCTTATAGCAGTGCCTCGTTGAACTTAGTTCTGTCTAGAATCTGGAAAAGGTGAGCAGAATATGTGATCGAACCCGAATTCTGCGCAGGCCAACCCCAGCATCGTTACTTTTCATAAAATTTACAACCCCCTCGCAATCGCGACCTCCCAAACTTCCAGAAATTCTCTTTTCGACCTTTTGACCTCCAACCCTATACGACCCCTAATGAAATCGAAAACACAACCCCCCGTTGGTAAATGTACTTGCACTCCCATTAGACGGTTACCCCTGCTTTCGAAGCAAAGAAACATTATTCACACTCGTACACCAGGTTCACCATTTATACGGAATACAGTGTTGGGTGAGCAGTGACTGACCTTCTTATGCCCTAAAAAGCTACTTGTTGGTTTGCTGTTATGATAGTACGACCCGATAAGCTTAAGTCACTCCCCGTCACAGCTGACCCGTTCCTTATAACTTCGAGTCCCAAGTGTTTACTGGGTTGAGCTCTCCTCACCAGAATAGTCTCACTGTTGTAAAGTGAACGACGACTGTCGCACATATTGGTTTTGCCTGGATTTTTTCTTCTTTTCCTTCGTTTCTTTGTCAGTTTCCTCTACTTCCACTGAAAAACCAAGTCTGACACCTAATTTAGCCTGCCTACCCAGCGGCCTCATCCAGCAGTTCCACAGCCACAACCGCAACCTATTCATGGTTACTACCCACCCCATCAACAACCAAGTCAACCATTGCCGCAGCCTCATGGTTATTACCCACCCCATCAACAACCAAATCAACCACCACCACAGCCGGAACATCCACCAGGTATAGCCGAGGGAAGATTCAGCTTTTAGAACCTTATCTTCTGCGTTTTACAAATCTAACGCTCTTCCAGTACCTACCAGTTACGGATGGCTATGTGACCCAAGTGAGCAAACTCATTACAAACAACTCAAGCCAAGGTCAGTCAAAATTTCGAAAAATAGGTCGTCAGAAGAACTATCCTTTTACAGGCTTTACGATCAACAACCGTCAATCGCCTATCCCGGAGGTTTCTGTCGAATCCCAGACACCGTTTGCGTGGGGGGCAGGTTTTGTTGAAACAACAGTGTGTTTTTTTACGCGTCACTATGGCATGCAAGTAAAAGCAAAATATAAAATCTAAACAAAGTTCCTTCAGAACGTGTGCGTTTGTCGACGCGGTGAAGAGGCCATCAATGGGCAATGCCAGAGGATTGAGGTAAGCTGGTCACATATTTAGTTCTCCTTTTATTTAATTTGGTGAACCTAGTGGAAAAAGAGGAATCATCACGAATATCAAAACCAATCCAATAGTTCGCTTGGTCCAATAGGTCACACTTCAATGCATCATCAGCAACTGACAGCCACTATTTAACTTGTTTTGGAGTCAATTTATATCATTCTCACCCTCATCCGCTTTCGTGCTGAACTCCACCATTTCCACCACCAGAATCTCGAAAACCTGATTCAATTCACTGAAGCATCAATGCAGTCCAGTAGCCGTTACTCACACTGGTCAGCCTTTGAAGTAATTTTGGGGTAACGAGCATAGCGAAACGGATTTTTTGGTAAAATAATTCTAATTAAGGGCCCGAATTGATGGCGTGCTGTAGCAAGTGGAACGCGACCGCGCAACCGGTCGTGATCTAAATTCCGGGTCGCGAGTCGCCCCGGCAACAGGCTTTCCACGGCGGTCGCGTTATCGACAACGGCAGGAATGCGTTACCTTTTTCTCCTTACCAGTTGGCCCGCAGCTCAAACCGTGCGCATACCATATATTGAGGTCACGTGGCTGAGAAACTAACAGTAAGATGTTTGGAAGATGTGTCACATGAATTTCAAAGGCTGTCCAATTTTGCTGAAGATTGTCGCGTAATGCGCGCAGTAGCATGCGGAATGAAAATGGTACTTATCATGACTTCGTAAACATTTAGCATTGATATCGAGCTCGGGATGATTTAGCGGTTTATAGAATTTCCACAATTGAAGAATCGGTGTGTAAGTGAAATATAACCAATCAATCAGGCATGAATGGCTATGGAAATATAATGGAAAAATGTCAGCTTTTAGTCAAGTCCAGGATATTTGATTAGCTCAAGCTTTCCTGCTTCTTTAGATGAAAGGATAGGAATGGAACATGTTCACGTGCTAGGGACCTGGTTCAGTTCAAACTGAGTGCACGCTCAATTGTCGCTACTTTTATCAGTACAGTTGCCGCTCATACCACTTTCTGTCACCTACATTCAACCCTCGCCACCTTGATCGCTGCCAGTGATAATTGCAACGAAGTTGGAGAGACCTGCATTCAGACGCTCTCATCATTCCTTGTCATTTGTTATCAGTTCATACTGCTCGCAATCCCCGTCCCATCCTCCAGACAACGCGTAGTTCATATTTATCGTCACCACGAAAGCTACAACGAAATTAGCGTATTCAAAAACCGTGACTTCCTTATCAACCGTTATCGCTTGTTATCACTTTTGATCATCCACTATCCGTGTTCCCGTCCCATCCCCTATACCACATGTGAGAGCCAAGGTTCCAATGTAACTGCGAGGGCCGCAACGAAACTGGTGGTATCCACACTTTGACGCCCCTTATCAGTTCTTATCAGTTACATAAGCATTTTTTCACTCAACTTCTTGGTCCCCGCCTCACCTCCACATATCATACATGAGTGCAAACTCTCCACCGTCAACGCGAACGGCGTAACGAAATTGGTGACATCAACATTTCGACGTCCGTTATCAGCTCCTATCAGTAGTTATCACTTCCCGCCACCCACATCAGTGTTCTGGCTCCCCCCCATATATCCTAGAAGTTTGAGCGCTCTGGGTCCAAAGGGAGTGAAGTTATGAATTTCCGGTCAGACACACACACAAACCGCTTAGCCGATTATATTAGGTCGGTCCACAATTTTTGAGAACCTTTGGTGTTTTTCGATTTATTACTTATCTTATTTCTCTGATCTACTTATCCAGCATAGTATACATCATTATTATTAACAACATATCGCCAATGCGAGGGTGGGTATTCAGTGCCTCTCTTGTGGACTTTCATAGAGTTCTGATCGAAGGAAAATTGTAGTCCCGAATCAGTTCTCAACCCAATCCTGACATCATCAAGTTCCTGTAGGTTTCCTATAGTTCCTTCGGATGACCATCTATAATACTCATTGGTGATGTGGACTGGGTGCAATGTGCTAACAAATCCACGAGCCGCAGTAGATTTGCTCAAACGATTCGGGAGTTCTGACAGTACAAACCCAACTCCCTCTGAATTCGAACTTCCTGAGTCGTTGGCGCAATACGGGAGGGCCTTTGCGCTGAAGACCGGCATCAACTAATACCAGTGTCAGTGATGGGAAGAATCGTTGACAGCTTGATGGCAACCGCCTTCAACTTGAAAGCAAAGGAAGACAAAATCTATTTTTCTCTGAGGTCGTTCGAGCCCGCCTTGCTAAGAAAATTCCTAAAAAATTGGAGACTCTCGGGCGGTCAGTTCTTTTAGCTCCGCCTTATAGCACTAATCCTGCGTCAACGAACGACTATCCGCTCTCCTCTCTCAATCACCTTCTGGAGAAGAAATCTCACTTGAATCACCATAAAGTCAAAATCGACATCCAATATTTCTTCGATCAGAACTCTATGAAATTCTAAAGAGAAACACTGAATACCATTCTCGCATTGGTGTTCGGACACTGAATACCCACATTCGCATTGGTTATATGTTGGTAATAATGGTGATGTATACTGTGCTGAATAAATACATCAGAGAAATAAGATAAGTAATTAAGTCGAAAAACACAAAGGTTCTCAAAAATTATGGACCGACCTAATATTGGTGAGGACTACGGTATAATCACGTGACAACCATGAATGGAAAGCGCAACCAGAACCAATCATTTCATTGGCCATCGAAAACTTTTACATTTTGTAGAGCGCTCACTCTAACTTTGGTGTTATGGATCTGCACCGGACGTTCTCTCATTATTTAAAGTAGGGAGGTAAACATTGAACGCCTTATTAATATACCAGTTTAGCGCCGCACGCTACCGCGCGCATTAAACGGAAGGTCGGGATGAGACAGGACAGCCGACAAAGCGCTAGATTCACCGCTAACATAAGCTCTTTATCTTAGCAGAAGCTCACCGTTTGATACGCGCAGTGGAGTGCGGAGCTAAAGTGGTGTCTGTAAACAACCACCATGCATCGAATGCCAGTGTAATTTAGCGGTCGGATTGTGTGTGATGTGTTAATAATATCCAGCACTCGTTATCGTATTTTTGAACTTACACCATTTTTTTACCATACCCAGTTTTGCTTCGCCCGCTATCGCGCGCATCACACGGCAGGCTTCAGCGAAACTAAAAAATCCATGGAATATCGGCATGAGATACTCCATTAACGCACTATTGACTATGTTTGACCTCCACAGTTTCAGTGAAGCTCATCGAGAATACGCGTGATAACGTCTGGAGCTAAACAGGGATATTGAAGCAATTCTGTAAACATCCAGCATTTTTCTTGAATTAGGATAATCGAGCGGTGAATAGGATTTTCTTGTCGTCAGTCTCAAAATAAAAACGAAATATGCCTATTTACATAAGTGAGGAGCTTATGCTTATCATTCATTTACATTCACCATTATTTAGGACCCCGAATGGATTAGCGGTTTAATGAGTTTGGGTTTTCTTAATAGTGCATCAGAAATGAAACTTATCATTTGCTGAAGACTTGTTTAGGTTTCATGCAGTCGAATGAATTCTATTAAGTAAGCACACAATTTGTAGGTTGGAACGCTCGAGTGTCAACGCTGCGTAACGTTTTTGGCGACTTTCGCTTTTTAACGCACCTTATCAGCCCTTATCAGATCTATCGCTTTCAGTCACCCATAACCGATGTCCCCGTCCCACCCCACATAACACTTGTAAGTATGGTTGCTCTGGTGTCAACGCGAGCCAGGCAACGGAATCGACGACTTCAGCGTTCTGGCGCGCCTTATCGGCCCTTATCAATCGTTATCAGTTTCTGGCACCCACCAACAATGTCCCCGTCCCACCCCACATAACACTTGTAAGTATGGTTGCTCTGGTGTCAACGCGAGCCAGGCAACGGAATCGACGACTTTTGCGTTCTAGCGCATCTTATCAGCCATTATCAGTTGCTATCGCTTCCAATCATGTACCACCAATGTCCCGGGACCGCCCCACATAAGACTTGTAAGTATAGACGCTCTTACCAATATGAACGGCAAAACGAAATTGGCGATGCTCGCTTTCTAGCCCCTCTTATCAGCTATTATCAGTCGTTATCAGTTCCTATCACGTACCACTTGTGTCCCCATCCCACCCCTATAACATATGTAAGAACCACTGCGCTATCGTTACTGTGACTCGAGCTATGAATTTCCGGTCAAACACACACACACACACACCAACAGACACACGCTAGCCGCTTATACAGGGGTGGCCAAAAAAAAGAGACACTCAGCCCATGGCGCACATCATCGAACTTTTCGTCACACAGGGAGCCGATGTTAATGAAAGTTTTATGGCGTTATATTCCTTAGTTGTTCCTCCGTAAACAGAAGCAAGCACTCCTTCACTGCCCCTGCCGTCTCCAGAATATGACGTCATCTGCCGTCACCGTCGAGCTCAACGAGGCTTACCGAAATCGCTCCGACCTGAAGCTGCTACACAATTTCCTCAGTGAATTAATTGTTGAATAGCTTCCAGAGACATTAGCTGTGAATGTGCAAAACCGCTTTTGACCTGCGTTTCAGAGACGTCGTAATCGTCTATGGTATCTCGAAGGCCTCGTTGAGCTCGTACCGTGCACAATGCTTCAGAGGGAAAATCTTCTGATGTCGTCGGTGTAGAAGGCTGTTGTGTAGCTTGTTGATAGATTATAACGTGCTCTTCAATATTCAGTTGGGGTCATTTGGTTTGGTTTCGCGACGCGTAAATAATTCCGTTTTGAATGTTGAGTGAAGTGTCTCTTTTTTTTGGCCACCCCTGTATATAGTGACTGCGCCATGCCGCGCATGTCGAGCTCATCTTTGGCCATCAAGGTCCAACTTTTTCATCGGAGTACAGACGAACGGACTCATGATCAGCTCGTTCACATCTTGACCATCTGCGACCTGACAGCTGTTTTCACTTTCCCGTTTTAGGTCCCTCTCGTGACGGAGAGCTCGACAACTTCATCATCCTCTCC